AATTTATAACTAAAAATTATTAAAAAAAAATATTAATTTTTTTTTTTTATTCGAATGATATTCTTGTTTTTTTTTTTTATTATTTTTTAGTAGTATATAAATTTTAGTATATGCAATCAATAGATATTTTTAGAATTAATAATTAATAATTGAATTTGAGTTGTTTTTTTTTTGTTATTTATTTATGATTAATAATGCTAATTAATATAATAATTATAATTAAATATAAATATAATATAATAATTTTATTTTATTTTTTTTTTAAATTTTATTTTTTTTTTTTTATTATTTTCTTAAAGAAAGCCACTTATTTTCACAACCATTTTATAAGAAAACTTTAAAAAAACTATAAAATAAAAATATAGAATATGTGTGTAAAAAAAAAAAATTAAGCGAGAGAGAGATAGATATTGATAAGACACGTCGTAAAATATAAAATGACGGTATAAATGCCTAGTCTATAATATTATTTTATTATTGTTATTATTGTTATTTTTATTATTATGTGAGTGTATTAGCGCGTGTATGTGTGTGTGTTTAAATTGGTATTATAATACGTGTGAGGGTAAGTAAAAAAACAAACCACTTAATTATTATTTTTTTCTTGCGTTTTGTTTTTAATTTTTTATTATATATTTTATCCTTTGACTAAAGGATATAATAAAAAGAAATTTTTATTTTTATTATTATTAAAAGTACATACGTATATATGCATGTAAATATATTAGTAGTTGTCTATATAATACACATGTGCATTGTATAAAGTGTACGGTGTAGATTTTAATAGAAAAATGCTTTTTTTTTTTCGTCTTGTCTTTATATGAATTTTTTTTTTTTTTTTAATAGACACTTAGGGTTTTCTTTTGTTTTACACACATATTATTATTATTATACTTATTTTCATTATTATTATTATTATATTTTTTTTTATTAAAAAAATATAAAAACGTATTCATCTATTCCGCGCACTGACTCTGACTGCTTAACTATACTGTCTCTGACTATTCTTAAATAATATGAAAAAAAAAATTATAGAAATCATTCAAAAGAAGGAAAACTTGAATAAAAGTACAAAAAAAAAAAAGAAAATGCATTATTTTTAGTTTCGACAAGAAATTGCATCAAAACGTTCCATTTTATTTGAAAAAAAAAAAATAGCAACTAAAATTGGGAACGCTTGGGTTTGTTAGATTTTTGTTTTTTTTTTCTCATCTTATTTTTCTTTTTAACTTACCATTAGCTAAAAAAAAATATCTTTGTACTGTTTGTGTTCGGGATTCATTTTTTTTCTGTTTTGGTCTTTTTATTTTTATATATTTTTCATGTAATTTCTTTTATTTTTTTATTTTTTAAAAAATTAACGGAAACTATGTTAGGCGTTCTATATTTGAAGTGGAACAAAACAATAGGAATATCAAAAACAAAAGTGAGCGACAAAAATTTGAAAAAAAAAAACAATTGGGGATGACTTTGTTTTTGTTTGCCTTTTATTATCATTATAATTTTTTGTTTTTTTTTTGTTTTATTGTTAAAACCCTAAAAAACCTACCACAAAACTGCAAACACTATTAAAAGCTGCAATATCAGTAAAACAAAGAATATATATAAATTTTTAAGGAGAAGTGACCTTATTTCATTTATTATTTTTAGCGAAAATAAAAAAAAAAATTCACAAGTGACATAATTATTTAAGTTTTAAGAAAATATTAAAAAACAAAAATTTAGAATTTAGATTTAGCATACTAGCTGCTATATATACAGTTAGTGTCTAAACAATAACAATAACAAGAATTAAGAATTAAAATGAATTAAAAGATATCCTAAGGAATAACAATTAAAAATTAAGAAAACTATCAGAACGACTAATAAGAAAACAAAATAAATAGAAAATCAGAAAATTATAAAGAAAAAAAAAAATAATAATAATAAAATTTTCTTGTGATTTTCTTGTAAGATGTCTTTCAACTTTTCTTTATGAAAAATTAAAATTTTATGTGCCACAATGTGTTTGATTCATTGTGAATATAGAAAAGAAAAATAATAATTAGCAAAAACAATATTAAAATAAAATGAAAAATAAGAAAGAAAAAACAACAAAACTTTTATTATTAGAAAGTATAGTGCTGCCAGATGTCTTAAAAATATTTTTGTTTTTTTTTTATTCTATAATAAGAATAAAAGTAAGATTATAAAAATAATGCTAATTAAGAAGACGAATAATAATTTAGAAAAGTAATTATTATTATTATTAAAATATTGTTCTGTATAATATTCTGTATTAATTAAAATTTTAATTATATTCTAACCTATATTAAAAAAATTTATTTAAGAACGATTTAATTTTTTAATAATTTATTCTTAGTGTAATATCTATACGTATTCAACTCACTATATAAGCGAATTATAATATTTATTTTCAATAAATGGTTATAGGGAATAAACGTGTTTTGAAATTTCTGTTCTTATTATTGGAAAGTTTAGAGAATTAAATATTTCATAAATAGGTCAAAAAATCTAGCTGCATTATATCGATACGAATGTTACGGAGCATTTTTTGTAAATTTTTTCCAGAAATTTGTTATATTTGCATTATGAGGACAATAAATTTTTACTCCTTCTATATAATGTTGTTACACAAATTTTAAAAATACATATTTTATCTTTATTTTCTCGATCTAGATAATAGATTATCTAGATCGATCTAGATTCAAAAATAGCGAAATAATTCAAATATGAAAAGAAAATGCAATAAATTTTATCCATTTAAAAATTTAATTTTTAAAACCCATAGTTCTTAATTATTAAAATCCTAGATGAAAAAAATTTAATTTTTAAACCACAAAATCATTTTTTTCTAATTTTCCATTTTTGTAAATTATTTTTAATTAAATTTATTATTTAATTTTTATTTTTAATATGTATAATTATATAAATAATATATAAATACATATATACATTAATATTTTGTATTTTGATATTTTTATTTTTTAAAAAAATTAATTACGAATTATAAATTTTATAATATACGTATAATATCACATACACATATACATAAAATATATATTTTTTGTTATCCTACAAACAAATAAAATTTAATGAAAATTTCTTTAACTCTTATATTGAAATTTTATAACACTTATTGTATTATTTCATTCATCAATGTTATAGTGTTGAAGAAATTTTACTTTGGAGAATTTAAATATAAGTGAAAAAAAAAATAAATAATTTAATATTTTCTAATAATTTACTAGTTATAAAATTCGGAAACAAGTAATGAGGTATTTTAAAAAATTTCTTGTATTCCGTAAAATATAGCATTTTAATATGGAACATTTTAATTCTATTCATACAACTGGAATATGAATATTGTTATGCACAATATAAAAATTAGAATTTAATAGAATTTAATAGAAATTTATTTAAAAAAAAATAATTTTATTTAAATCGAAATACGATTTTAAATTGTAATTTAAACAAATTAAATTATTTACGATATTATAATGTAATTTTTTACGATATTATTTATATACATAATTTTCACTTATATTTAAATAAATAATTTTGATATAAATATATAAAATATATTATTATATATATGTACACATAAAAACCAAATTTATGAATATGAGAAAATTAAAAATCAATATAAAAATAAAAAAGGAAATTAAAAATTAATCGTAATATTCAATAAAATTAATAAATAATAATTTTTGAACCAAAGAAACATATCTAATATAAGTATGTATATACATATAGGTATAAAATATTTGTTCTATTTAATTAAATATAATTTTTTTCAAATTATTTTATATTTATTTATTTATTAATTTTATATAAATTTTTTTTCTGCTAAGTTTATTTAATGTTGAATTACTTTTTTAATTACTCTAAATTGCGTTTTTTCTTTTTTTTTTGTTTAAAGAGATTTTCTCTTAATTGTTTAAAGAGATTTTCTCATTTTCTCCTAAACATAAACAAAAAAAAAAAAAATAAAACTAAAATTCTCTTTATACAATATTTGTTGTTCTTTTTCTTTCTCTTTTTTCTTCAGAAATATTTTTTGTATATATATAGAGTTTTTACTTCAATTCGTTTTATTTTGACTAGAATCTTTATTAATCCGTTCGACGTCAACAACAATAACTGGACGATTTCGAGTCTCACGATTTCTCTTAAAAGAAATTTTGATTTTATTTTTATTATTTGCATAGCATTTTTTTTTTTTTGTATTAAATTTTAATTATTTTTAAAATTTTTTTTTTTTTTTAATTTTTTTGGCACACAGACACAACATATTTTTTTTTTTTTTATTATATTTTAATTTTTTTTAAATCGAAATTATTATTGTGATTTTTCTCTCGTTACATTTGGAAGACCAAGTAACAAAGAAAATTTAAACATACGAAAACAAAAAATTTACAATTATTTTCGAATTTTTTTTTTTTAATTTTTTTTTTTGTTAAATATTACAAGTATAAAAATTTTAATAAAAATTAAAAATAAAGAAAGAATTTTGGAATTTTTTTTTCGAAATACATGTATAAATTTTATAATTTACAAATAAATATTATTTTTTTTTAATATAATTTACAAATTTCATAAAAAATATTTTGATTTTAATTTTATATATGTAAATATATATATTTTTTTCGATATACATATTTTTCGTTGATTTTTTTGTTTTGCATATTTTTAATGAAAAAAAAAATTTGATTTTTCATATATTTTGTTTTTCAAATAAATTATATAATATACATAATTTATTATATGTAATATATATTTATTTATTTTAATTTTTAATATATTTAAAAAAAAAAATAGTATGAATAAAATGGTTATTCAAAAATATTAAGTAGTAGATAGTTACAACATTATTACATTTGGTTTTTTTTTGGTTTGTTTTTTTTTTTATTTTGAGCAAATCATAAAATATAGAAAGAGAAAAAAAACATTTTTTTTGTGATTAGTAATGTAATTAGTAAGGAAATATCGACACTCACCGATGATCTACTCACTTGCATAAACGCATAAACACCACGTAAAAACTCCATGTTAGGTTGCTTTTCCTGTGATGCTTGTGATGATGATGCAGCACCAGATTGATGTGTATGAGTTCGTTGTGCTCGGCTAATATATGATTTAACAGTTTCAGCTACCAAATGAGGTTTGAGTTTACGAGATAATGCTCTGTATATATATATATATATATATGTATATTATGTATTTGAGAATAAAAATTCGAGCATTTTGATGAAATGAGTAAGTGGGAGGGGAAAAAAAAAGAGAAAAAAAAATTATTTATTAGTACATTTGTAAATATATTTAAGTAATTGAAAATAGATAGAAAAGCTCTATATTATCAAAACTATAAACTAAATTAGAAGTGATTCAAAAATAAAAATTAAATATTAAAAATAGAAATAGAAACTACAAAATAATTTTTGTTAAAGTTACTAATTGCTAGCTCTTGAATTTCATACTGCATTTAATTTCTCTATAATTAAAGTACAAATTTTTGAACTCTGATTTTGTACACTTTGAATATAAATTTCCGAATTGAATTTAAAAGTTATTTTATTGCATTATGAAACTCAAAATCTACTATACTTAAAATTAAAAATTTATGTAAAAATTACAATTTTTTTTTATAAAGTTAATTTTTTTTTATTAATCTATTATGAACAAGTTCATGCTTACAAACCTTTTTTAGTTCAATAAAATTATAAAAATTTTGTTTTTCTTTTTTTTTTCTAATTCTTAAAGCAAAAATTTTTGCTATTAATAAATTTTCACAAAATTAATAATATTTAAAAATGAGTTTTCCTTTATAAAATTATGGCGACGAGATGGTTTTTTTGTTGATTGGCATTAATGTTTTTTTTTAAAAAAAAATACCTGTAATGTATAATTATAAAATTCTTTTTAATTTTTTTTTGTTATTAATTTTAATTTTGTTATTACTTTCTGTATTATTAATTATATTATTTTATAATATTCAAATTTCCAATCATTCTTGGCATTCACTCCAGAAGTGAATCTTTAAAAATATCATAATGCACTTCAAAATATTTGTTTCATTTGTTGTCAGCCCAAAAAAAAAAAAAATTAATCTTTAATAAAGTTTAAAATTAAATAGGTCTAAATCTCAAATAATTTAATCAGAAAAGACGTTTAACGAATTCCAATATTGTTCGCTGCCATTATGATTTTTCATGTAAAGACTACTACAATTGTTGTATTGAAGTCGCCATTTTGAAAAGCTTGTAAATGATAAACAAAAAATACATTTAATTGATAGAAACTTACTTTCTATAAACAACAACAAATTTTTATTTTCCCATTTTATTGCATACTTTTAGGGGAAAACTTGTGCGGGATTCTTTTTTCAAGAAATATTTTTACCGTTATCTTTTCGATTTTTTCAGCCATGTATTTTTATATTTAAATTGACGATATTTTTATGTCTTCTTCAATAAAATTGAATTTCGTTTTAATTAAAAAACACACAAACTATTAGTCAAATTTAGACTGGTAGCACATTTTATTTTCAATTTTAATTAAAACGCTTTATATAATATTAATTTTGAAATAAATATAAAAATTAATTGAGAAAATAATTAAATAAATCACAGTATAAATAAAAAGGACAATTTTACAGTTTATAAATTGTGTCATTTATAGCTGTTAAAATTTATAAAAACGCGAACGTGAAAGCAATAATATTTTTTCATCAAATCATTTACACACACGCTGTGAAAGCACCTATACTACTTTTGTATATCATATTATGTTAATTTCGAATTAAAGAAACTAAATTTTCACTAATTTAATAACTTCCTTTGAAATTAGTTATAAACACGAAACTAAATGCCATATTTGTTTTTTTTTTTTACTAATAGAGTGGTAACATACCCATATTTTGTTTTTTTTTTATTACTTTTATTATTATTATGCATATATTATTAATATCATGATGTAAAAGTGTTAAAGACCACACCATATTTTCTAATTGTTGTACCACGTTATTTTAAGTATTAATTAGTATTTTAAGTATATTTGTATAAAAATAATAAAATTTTACACAAAAAAAAAATAAGTATGCTTTTTAGTCTAAAAAAAAAAAACTGTTATGTTTATTCTAACATTTTTTTTATTATAACTATCATAAATAACACGCTAGTAAGTGGCACGTTCAACAATAAATATGTTTGGTATTTTATATATTTTTTTTTCCTTTCTCATTTTTAACAAAATAAACAGAAAAAAAGCTCAATTATAATAGAAAATATGGAGTAAAAGGATATAATAAAAATTGTATTTTTTCATAAATTTTATTTGAATAAATTTTCCATGTTAAACGACATTATTGTTAAATTTTAATATGAGCAGAGTAAAAAATAAGAAGAAAAAAAAATATTGTAAAAATTATTTAAATAAATAAAAAATAGAGAATTTGTTTACAAGTTATAAAAAAAAATCTAACTATAATTATGTAGAAGGCGAGACGAGACAAGAATGTATTCATGTTGTACAAAAAATATGCATATTAAAAATATTTTATACAAGGTGTTTAAGTTTAATGATAACAATTAATAATAAAGCTTAATATTTTGATTTATTCATAATTTTATTAAATTTTTGCTGTTTTTAACAATTTTTATAAAGGATTGCAGCAAACCCCATTCAAAAACTCGGATTATATATTTTCCGAATATTCTGATAAAATAATGTTTAAAAATTTATAAAACTTGCAGTTAGATTTTAGCAATTAGAAATGTTCATCATTTTTTGAGCGAGATGAGAGTTAGTTGCAGGTACAATATCGTTTTTTTCAGAAAATTATTATTATACGAGAAGATTGAAATTGATTGTTATATGTGAAAATCGAAAGATCTTCTATATTTCGGAAAAGTTCATTTTCTATTTCCGATTCCGTTAAATTTTTTAAGAATTATTGCAGTAATCGTTTAGTTTGTTTCTTGTTTAAGTGGCTTATTTTTGTATTATTCATGTAGCTTGCATTTTCATTGTTATTTTGAAAATTTTTTCTCTATATTAATCAAATATCGTAAATTTGTTTTTGTAAATGACATTTTTTTTTTATAGTTTTTAATTTCTTAATAAAATTTTCATGTAAAATTTCTATATTTATTTGTAAATTTCTCACAATTTATTTTTCGCAAATTCATAATTATATTTATTGAAATTCACCCTGTTCTCAAAAATTTCAAATGTTGTAGGTGAAAATTATTTACTTTATATTTGCATTTTTATTAAATAGCATGCTACATGTACTATATTATTAAATGGTATTTTTTGTTTACATTAATTATTACAAATATGAATTAAAATATAATATACTGTTAAAAATATTAGCATTTATTAACAATAACAAGAAGAAGAAGAAGAAGAAGCAAAAGAAAACAGCAAATTTTTACGTATACATGCAGAAAATTTTTACAAAAAGGACGATATCCTTTTAGAAAAATATATGAAATAATTTTTTTTTTGTTAGTAATTTTTTTTACTTGTAATTTTTGTTGTTAGTGTTGTTGTTTTTTTACGGTTGTCGTTTTTGAATAATTTATTAAATTAATTAAATTTCTAAATGTTGTTAATTATTAAATTTGCTGTTTTGATCAAGGTGATAAAAGTTGTAAATAAAAACCAACTCAAAAAAAAAACAAAAAACTAAAAGTTGTAAGAATTAAAATAAAAGTAAAAAAAAAGTAAGAAAAACCAAATAATTTTGTGTTGGTTAAAAAGAGAAAGCTATATGAATGATATTAACATTGAAATTATTTTCAAGAACAATTTTCTTTTGTTTATTTATTCAAATTTTTTAATGAAAAATTAAATTATGGGTTAAATTTTTTGGAATAATTTAAAAAGGAAAAAAAAAATGTCTTGTGTGAATAAGACAAAGGATAATTTAAAGTTATTTATTAAATTTATTCAGTAATTTTGTAAGACGAATAATATTTTTAAAATGAGATAATCGAAATTTCTTTTATTATTTAAGAATTTTTAAATTTAATTTAAATTTTTCAAATTTTTTAAAAATTTTTAAAGAATTTCTTATATTTTTTAAACTGCTATCTCTTATTCCATTAAGAGTGATTTGAAAGAATTATTTTCCAAAATTAAATAATGGTCGTCACATTCTCTAATTGTATTAATATAGTGATTTGTAAATTTAATAAAAATTTTGAATCCTTTTTCAAAATTACACCTACAATATTGTTAAATAATACAATTGAAATTTTTAATATCAAAAGCCTTAATTATTAATTTTCGAACCTGTTGAAAAATTTTCTATTCCTGAAACAGATATTTCTGATTTATTTAATCGAAGGGCGAGTGGCTACTGAAATCGTCGCTGAATTTTCAGAAAATTATTCCTACCCAATGTAATTTGTACAATAAATTTTAAATTTTTCCATAAAAAATTCCCTTAGCCTCTTATACTTTAAAATTTAAATCTATATACTAAGTAATTCTTATAAATCTATATCAAAAAGAAATACCAACGCCAAGAATCCTTATCATTTTTTTTTCACTACTTTTACCCTTTTAAATATTTAAAATATTTTATTTTTTCTTATTTTATTTTATTGTTTTTGCTCATCAAAATAATAACGAAAGTTCATGGTGTATGTTGAATTTGTACAAATATTTGTTGCTAAAATTTATATTGAAATGAAGTGAATATTTATTTTAAGAGAGGATCACTATGAACTGTTGCTAAATAGAGTCTAATAGTTAATTAACTTCAGAATCAAGACACAAAATGCATATTTTTAGGTTTAATTTTCATAAAATTTTTCAAAATGTTTTCAGGATGCTGAAGTAATTCAAATTAAGGGCCTGATAATCTATTTCGTTATGGATAATTTTTTTTAATAAGTGAAACATTCATTAGAAAATATTGAGAATTTTGACTCGATAATGAATAAAAAAGTGAATAAAAAAGCGAGATACACGATCAGGTTGTCAATTACTTAAAATAATTTTAATTCAAACATAAAAATTTTCTAATTTTTTGTTGTTTTCTTCTAGCAAAAATTTGTGCAAGATTTTATTATTACTTGAGGATTTTTTGCAGATCAATCAAAGATCATTTAATACTAATTCAGATGGTTGGTGACATCTCTTAACTGTAATTATTTACTATTTTGTTATTATTG